TTCCCCCATTCCCCACCCATCAGCATCCAACTAAAAGCTCACTCAAATGCTACCTGCTTGGTGAGCTTTTCCCCATCCAGCTCAGAACTCAATGCTCCACTTGTTCTCAGACCTCCCACGTTATGTCTCTTGGACTTTTATTTAGCACTTATATCATTCAGCCTAATCTGCTTCTCTGTCTCCTTCGCCAAAGTGGAGGGGGCGGGGAGAAGATTGTGCTAAGCTTCCTTTTTCATTAGATTTCCCCCAAATCTAGTAGAGTTCCTTGAACACAGGCAGTAGTACTGCTTACCAACAGAAAATGCAAAACCTGCCTGAGTGCCAGCAGAAGAAAGTTTGCAGTGAATCCCCACCCCTCTCCTAATTAATTAAATGCACATCTGACACTCCCCAGAGTTCAAGGACCAGGTTCAGACCCCTGGCTATTCCTCCTGTGACAGGTCACCACCACAGCACCTACTGTGACTCAGCATTACAGAACACAGCTACCTGCAAAGGTGCCACACCATCTCCCCCGTATAAGCAGCAGCCCTTGCCTCTTCCGGCATATGGCATAGAGTATAGCAAGACACGGGAAAGGAACAGAGAGCTGAAAGGAATTCGGAAGGGCTGGGTCAGGCATCGCAACAGTGGGATTAGACCGAAGCCCTGTCTGAACTGGCTGAGAGGTCCTGAGAAGAGAAGGGAGTGGCGGGAACCATTGCCACAGCAGGTTGAGGCCCCGCTCAGTCACCAGATAGGAATTTTTAGTGATGGGCTTCTATTCACCACTGTCATATCCTAAAACTGTGATTAATAGAAACTGCTGGTGTGGAAAGGTCATATCTTAGGAGCTAGAGAAAGAAATGAGAAAAAGAAAAAAAGGACTCTTGGCGACGAGTGAAATGGAAGAGAAAGGGGTAGCGGTTAGTTGCAGAGTCACACCACGGCACTGCACAGGTGAGCAGCTGTCAGGGAAGCCTGTCCACAGTCCCACTGCTTTTACGACATGTATATACTCTGTAACACAGCAGGCAGTTCTCCTTAAGGGTGGAAGGGGGCTATGTGGAATCAGGAGCACCCATAACCCTACCACAAATTCATTCAGTCTTCCATCCGTTCATTCGTTCATCATGCTTTGTACGGGGTCTGCCGTGGGCCAGGCCTAAGACAGCGCCAGACCTCAGGAAGCACCGCCAGGTAAGAGAGTGATGTTCTCAACAAGGAAATGCAGGTGTGTTAGCACCAAGACAGCAATCTTCCTCCTTGCTTCATCTGTCACACGAGAGGAAATCCACGAGAATGACACTTCCGGTCTGTCTTTACTCTCTCATGGGCTCTTCTCAAAGAAGACAATGATTGACATGCAAGTCTGGGAAAGGGAACAAAGCATAGGTGGCTCAGGCCTCCCTCCTTCCCTTAAGGTCCCACCTGCCTGTTGTGGGAGCCTATATTCTCTCTGCTCTCCAGCTGTCGCCATTACAGAGTCAAGTACTCTTGTGAGGGTAAGTTCACTGTCGGAGTATAATATTAGCAAGTCCACTTTATCACCCAATCCAAAGCCAGAAAGAAAATAACCCATGTGGCCTTGTAATAAACATGACGTTTTTATCTCCCATCGAGTCTCTGTGATTCAGTTCTGAATTAAAGCAGAGTACAGAGCCATCGTTTCGAACTGCTTCTCTTCGCTATAAGTGTCTATTTTGTTTGCCCTTTTCTCCAGCCAGTTATTACTTACTTATCCTTATATTTTGGTGATAAGCAGTTTTTTTGTTTTACTCTTTTATGGGAGATAAACTGTGGAACCCAAGCATGTAATGATTCAGAGGCCATTTGATAAGCCAATTTGTGCACTCAGGATGGAAAATTCAGATTCCCCAACACAGATGTCATTTAGAGCACATCGGCTTCCATCTGAAATCTTCAAGGGGGGGATGCTGAACATTGGAAATCATTTTTCTCCCAAGTAAGAGGGGATACTCTATTAGATCTAGAATAGAAATATTATGTACAATATTCGTCCACCCCACTTTACTTACACAGCTCTGAGGATGAAGCCAGGAGAGGAATTGGGGACAAGTAGGAAAACCCTTCTCTTGCTTCATTTATGAAATAACCACTGTGGTCCTTCAAGGACCAGGCCCCAATCTTGGAGTAAGGTGATCAACACAGTCCCTGATGAAGCTACTTTCTCCTCTCCCCATTTAATGCTGCAACTCACTTCTGTTAGTTAACATCGCCTCAATGGACACAACCATCTACACAGTCATTCTATGGAGAACGGATTACCCTGTGCTTTCTGTGTCCCATGTCCTCTCTAGCGGTCTTCCAGCAATTTCAGGTAATTTATTATAATGCAGTGGTTTGTTAAAAAGGCAATGGATGCCAATATAATCCCACTCTGAATGCAGACCGTCACAGGCTCTATGGCCAGAAAACAGAACTCAAGGATGTCCGGCTGCCCGCCAGGGCAAGGCTCTGGTCAGGCCAGGGAACAGAAATAAGATGATGTAATTAAATCCAGAGAAGAAAACGCAAACCAGGGTAGTCATAAAATAAAGAAAGGGAATTTCTTTTTCTTCTTTAACTCAAGGCTACAGGTTCAGCAAAATGAATGAGCTCCTTACTTGCTTTTAACACTTTTACAAGTTTAAGCTCACTTTAGAAAACAGGTTACACGTCGCAAAATCCTTCTAATTTGAAACTAATTAGAAAAGACAGGATACAAAACATGTGCCAAATAGTATAACTGTTTGTTTTGTTTTTTTTTAAACCAAGAACGGGAGAGAGTGCGGATAACATTTACTGAGGATCCTTGTTCCAGGCACCCTTCCTTAAGTTCTTTCCTTTATTTAATCCGCACAATTTTCCTGGAAAGTAATTAGTCATGTGCCCATTTTTGTCCACATGTAGATATTGAAGCTCAGATGTTAAGTAACATATATTTCCTATTCCAGTTCTTCTGCCAACATTCGTTATTCTCTGAATCAGTGTTTCTCAATGAGCTTTGAAACACTGGTTGTTACTTGGCATTGGGTTGGGGACTTTGTATGGGGTGACCATGCACACTGACAGACAGTTAGCATCCCTGGCCCACGAGCACAAAAGACCAGTAGCAACCCCCAACAGCAGTCCCTGCGTATCCCAAACACGTCTTAGGAGGACAACTACCCCTCAGATAGGAACCACTGCTCTAAAAGAGTCTTTGAGTATCAGGACAAAAAACTGAAGTGAGGGGCATGTCCTTTTAAAGCACCCCCCGCCCGCCCCCCACCGCCCCTGCCCTTTCGAATTTCTCAGAAGCCCATTATTTTATGGCATTTGTACTCCTATGAAAACCCCATGAACCGTTATGGAGTCAGTTACAAAAGCTCTATGAATTTATTTCCCATGCATTCCAACATTTATTGAGTACCTATATGGATGAGTCAGGTACTGTGCTGTTGGCTGGAAATATAAAGCCAAACTGCATGGTTCTAAGCCCCCAAGGAGTTACATTCTTATGGTCTAGTGACAGATAAGTATGGTGAGTGTTAGGATAGATGTAAGCACAGGTGCTAGCTAGGAAAGCTGAGTGCAGGCATCTCCCATAGACAGGGCAGAGTGCTGGGAAGGCAGAAAGGCTGGCTAGGTCCAGTTCCCAGAGGAAGTGAAGTTTTTCCTGAGCCTTGAAAGACCAAATGAGAGGAGCCAAGAAGGGCCCATTCCAGGCAGAGAAAACTGACTTTGCAAAAATCAGAGAAGAGAATCATACCTGCAGCCAAAGTTTAAACTACTTCCTTCATTCTTCAAGTAGAGACCTCATTGTGATTCAAACTCAGGATCTCCTATTTACTAGAAAGGCATGTTAGCCAAATAAGTCACTAGAAATAAAATAAGCTCTCTGCAGTCCAAATGTTTTTCCTTCCAAAGCCCTTGTTTTGTAAGGTCTAACCCACCAGACAAGAAATATGACTAATTCCATACTTCGTCCAGTGAGCAGGAAATTGCTTTCGACTATATTGCGCATTGGCAACCAGTGTGTGTCCAGCATTGAGGACACAGAAAGATGGGGAAGAGGTGATCATCAGTGTCATCTGAGGAGTGAGGTAGTAGGGTGTCAGAAGATCGATTTTACCCTTGGCCTCAAGCTCAGAATGAACTTTTTTCTTTTTTAAATCTGAAGTCTTGTCTCACTTACCAACAATTATAACATGCAAAAAGCCAGATTCTCCCCCTATTACATTTGCACAGAAAACATAGAAGAGCCTTTGGCTATCTGTTTTTTCAAAGTCAGAGATGTTATATATAATTAGAAAATCAAATATATAAATAAACGTATTAGATATGGATAACTAGAAGTGGCCAGCTTGGGGATCTCTGAACCCGAGCTAGCCCAAAGGCAATAGTTTACAGAAGCTGGGTTGTAGCTACTTCAGGGTAATTATAAAGATCAAGAGTCAGATTAGTTTAGTTTCTCCCACCTGGGGCAAGGAGGGGCGATTCTACGCCAGCCAGCCAGCCCTGTGTTTCTTTCCTGCCTCCAGCCTACAAGGAACAGGCTCATTTCCCCTTGGCATGAAGCCTGATGTAACTGGCGGGCATATGCCCTCGCTTTCCTACTCTGCACCCTTCCCCTCTGACCTGAGACACACTCAGGAACTATAATTCTGTAGGTGAACTAAGCTCCCCTTTAGTCCCATGGTCATTTCATTTTATCACGCAGTTTGTCCTCATTCGACATCAAGACCATATCTGGTCCACATATTACCCTACCCCCCCATCCCCGGCCCCGAGCCCCAGAAACTACGCGCTCAACAAGAAAGCCGAGGTAAGAGAATCCGAAATGAAAACTCGAGATTTGTCACAAACCGCCTGTCCCTGCTTTCAACCAGGAAGTTCGCAGAAGGAAAGGTGGTTGAGCCAGAACTGCAAAGCTAAAGGCCAAAATTACACCAGGAAAGAGGAAGGTGGTCTTCAAAGAAAAGAATTCACCCCAATCGAATAGGTTGGTTGTCCTTTTTATCCCTAGTTGATCCCATTTCATTTCTGTAAACTTTGCTAACCCCGGAGGGCCGTATAAACAGAGACAGGTGTAGGGGCACCTCCACTCCCGGGGTTCATCTGCTGCCGTCCCTGCCGGGTGCACACGACAAGGGGCCCTCGACCCAATCGCAGTCCATGCTTCCCGATGACGCACCTGGCCAGGGTCCTCCCCCACGTGTGGGGGGCAAAGCGAGCATCCCCAGCCCGGTGCCCCCCCAGACAGCCCCGATGGGAGAGAGCAGCGAAAGGGGCACCTGGGGGTGCGACCTCATGCCGGTCTCTCCGACTTTCCCCCCATTTCCAGCGCATCGTTTCACATTAGAGACACTCCAACCTTAAAGTCCTGCGCACCTACGTGTCCTTCCAAAGCAACTGACTAAAGCGCCTACTGGCCTTTCGTGGCTCAGGTGAGTGCCAAGAGGTGTAGGAGGAAAGGGCACGCTCGCCACCACCCTCTTTCCTCTCCTCCCCACGTTCCCTAAGATTCACCAGGGATGTGTGTATTGGGGTGCGCGGGTTGCGAGGGAGCTTAAAATGCCCAAGCGTCCCTTACCTTCCACAGCCATTCTCTCAGAGCCTCCCTAACGCATGCATAATTTTCTCGGCCGAGGTACTCCTCTTGCCCCGCGCTCCCCCCCTCCTCGCGCTTTCGCCTAAAAATTCTGCGCTCATCTGCTCCAGGACCAACCTGCCGCGGTCACGCAAAGCGAGGCTGCCGGCTCCCAGCTCGGCGCAGGGCGGCCTGGGAAGTGTAGTTCCCCGCCTTCATTCCTACCCGGGAAAGCGCCCCAAGTCTTGCGCGGGGCGCGGCCCCGCCTCCACACCCGGATGGCAGCTCCAGTTTCAGCTGCTCCACCTAGAGCAATGCGTTCTGGAGGGTCTCGTGAGCAGACCCGGGGACCCAAGGAGGTGTCAGGGACTACATATTCCAAGATGCCGTGCGCTGGGTTTCGTTCCGCGCTTAGAGTACAAACCCGTGATTGAGATCATCCCTTCAATTAGAAGGGGGTAAGCACCTGGCAGGGGTCGCGTGGGAGGCACGAAGCAGCAGGGTTTCTGGTGTGACCTTCCGAGCGTGTTTTTTGGCTTCCTTAGCCACCCATTTAGTGAGAGGAGAGCCAGCAGCGGGCTTTGGTTCTCCGCCTGGGCCAGAGAGTCGCTGCACAGGGCGCGGTTGAAATTTGAACCTCTGCGCCCCGGGATGTGTGGTTTGGCCGAATCCCGTCAGGTGATAAAGCTGATCCTCTCCGTGGTTCAGGTGGCTAACACTTAACTTAGGGGTGGAGCACGGCTTAAAAATCCCAAATAGGCATCTCCCCTAAGGGGTTATTTGGAGCAAAATCTAGGAACCAGGATTCCACCTGAGGATGTCTGACGATGGAAGCCTGTGTGGCTTCCAGGGTAGGAAGCTTTCAGCTCGCCCGGCCTGGGACCTGTTGGCAGTCTGTGATAGGGCCTGTTAATTAACAACGCCTAAGTGCTCGTGTTCTTTCAACTTCTGAACCTGTGTCCTAATTCCAGGTGCTTGGGGGTGCTTTGAGCGCACAGGTAAAAGAGTCCTGTGGAGCGAAATAGAATTCCAGAGCTGGTAGATACTGATAAAAGTGAAGTTCCCAAACTTTTTTTCCCCCTGCGTGTGGAAATACTGATGCAGGTAGAGGTAACGGAATGGCTTTAGGAAGAAAACTGACTGGAAACTGCATGCAGTAAGACTTGTAAAGGCCTTGAACTCGGAAATGCACGTGGTACCACTTCCACCCAGCGCCCAGCATTTCCGCCCCTCCCCCATGTATATGTTTAAAAACGACTCTGGAAAATAACTCTAAGAAAGTACGAAGATCTGATTGTTTCCATTATCATAACTACTTAGATTTTCTTTCTCTGTCTTGGTCATAAATTTTAATTTTTTTTACAATTTTGTTTCTCTATGTGCACGTGCATACCTGCTCTTCTTACCACTAAGAACCTATGTGCTTAATCCTCCTATTGGGTAATATGGCTGTGTCTGGGTCTTTAAAAAAGACCAGTGTGCGTCAATTAAATGCCCTTGATGATACTCTGAATTCACACAGCTGTGTGCAAATCAAACCCAAGTCTTCCAGCTTTGGTAAAGAGAGACCTATTTAGTGAAATACAGTTGCCAAAATAATTTTTCCAACCACATATGCAACCAGGCATTCCAAAATATGGAAAGAACTGAAATCCAAGTGCTTCTCACCTCTCTCAAGTATATAAAATCACCAAAGCATTCATTTCCTTTGATTGAATAAATGGAAAAGAAAGTCAAGGGACCATAGGCAGTATCAATAGTTCTCAACCTTGTCTGTGCATCAGCCTTTTACACATTCCTAAGCCCCACCTTAGTCTCAGGATTTCTGTGGGTTTGGGTAGGTATACTTAAGTTTTTAAAACCCACAGGTGATTCTAACTGCAGCAAAGGTGAAGAAAACCTTTGGTTTACTTTCAAGCTTTTAAGAATCTGGGTGATCGTAAAATGTAAAAATCACTGAAATTCATTTTTAATTTTTAAAATCTCATTTCAGAGGAAGTCTGAGATCTTTCCTAACTGATATGCATTCCAGTTTAAGTTTCATTTTTAGCGTAAATGTAAATAAGATGTGAAGGAAATATTAGTTTAATCATATGGAATAGCCAATATTTAACTTTTTTCTAACCTATAAATGGAGCAATTTTATGTGGTTCAACCTAATGAAGGATAAGCAGCAGTTACTCAAGGTTTTCAATTACTGCTGAATATTAAAATCACCTGGGGAGCTTTGAAAAAATAATAAGTTCCTACTAGAATGACCAAAAGAAAAAGACAGAAAATACCAACTCTTGGCAAGATTATGGAGCAGTAAGAACTCTTATATACTCTTGCTGTTGTGAAAATTGACACAACCACTATGGGAAACCACTTGGCATGTTAAGCCGAATGTAAGTTTATCCCGTCACCCAGCAATTCCACCCCTAGATGTATGTACCAAACAGATACACATACACATCTTTTCCAAAAGACATATACAGGAGTGTTCATGGCTGCGTTATTTGAATAGCTACAAACTGGAAACAACCCAAATGTTCATCAACAATACATTGGCTAAATGCATTGTGGTATAACCAAACCGTCCTCCATAGCAGGAGTCGGCAGACTATGGCCCGTGGGCCAAATATAGCTCCCTATCTATCTTCGTATCACTCATAAGTATAATTTTTACATTTTAAATGGGAAAAAAGTCAAAAGAATATTTTGTGATATATCAAAATTATAAAAAATACCTACATAATAACCTCAGTTTTACTTTTTGGTCTGCAAAACCCAAAATATTTCCTATCTGGACTTTTATAGGAAAGAGGTTTTTCAAACCCTACTATAAAGTAATGAGAATGAATGAATTACAAGTACATACAACAAACTGATGAATAATATGCATTAGTTATCTACTGCTGGTAACAAATAGCCCCAAAATTTAGTGATTTAAAATAACATATATTATTCTCAATTTCTGTGGGATGGAAATTTGGACACAGCTCTGCCTGAGGGGTTTTTACAGACTACAATCAAGGCATTGGTTGCTCTGAAGTCATCTGTAAGCTCATTGGGGAAGGCTCAGCTTCCAAGCTCATAATTTCAACAATTGAAATCTGTTGGTGGCTTTCAGTTCCTCACAGTCTGTTGGATGGAGGGCCTCAGTTCCTTTCTGGCTGTTGGCCAGAGGCCATCCTCAGTCAGTACTTTGCCACAAGGGCCTCTCCAACAAGGCAGCTTGCTTCATCAAAGCATGCAAGCTAAGGAGGCTGTAGAATTGTATAGCAAGATAGAAGTCACAACCTTTTGTAACCTGATTATGGAAATGCCATCCCCTCAACATTGCCATATTCTATTAGTCAGATGCCAGTTACTCAAAAGGAGAGGATAAGACAAGGCCATGAATAACCGGAAGTGGGGATCATTGAGCGTAGTGGTAGACGCTACAGGATGTTGAACAAAAAAAGCCAAACAAGAAGTACATGTGATGTGATTCTATTTATGTAAAGTTTAAAACGTAGAAAAACTAATCTATGGCATTGGAAGTCAGAATAGTGGTTCCTTCTAGTGTGGAGGGTGTGGTCAAAGTGGGGAATAGTTACTGGAAGGAAGCCCCATGATGGCATCTGGGGTGTTGGGGGGGTTTCTGATTCTTGAACTGCACTCTGTTTATTATACATGTGTATAATGTTTGTGAAAATGTATATGTGTGATTTGTGGAAGTTGCTTGCGTGTGTGTTGTACTCCAATAAAAAGATTCAATTAAATATAATAAATGACCCATTTATCAGCCACTCTTTGATTATTTTTTTTCTTCTCTTTCTTCACCATAGCAAAGTGACAGTTCCATTCCATTTCATTTAAAAAGTATGTTTTGAGGACTTACTATGTGCCAGGTGCTTGCATAGAAGCTCGTGATATATGGTAGGCTGTGTGCAGAGCTGAGAAATATGTGCCACAGTTGAACATAGCATTTCGGGCATGACATAGGAAGTTCATTTACTCATGAAGTCACATCTGATACACAACTAAATTTAACGAAGGAGAGTCAGCACTCAGGGTTAGATTCTCAAGTGAAAGTATAGAGTAAAAATTAGGAATGAGCAACTTTGTGCTTGAAAATGCCTTATGTGGCCCCTTGAAATATAGGACATGTAATTTTATGTATACAGTCCTGTAGAATAATTTCCTAGCACACCAAAATTAGAGAACATGAAGGAAAAACTACTGGGAAAGACTTTATGCGAATGACTATATATTCGAAACAGTCAACTTTTAAAATAATCAAATTCTTAGTTTCGAATGGGGGCATAGTTAAACAGTTTCATATATTTTTTTTCTTTTGGACTTCAATACTTTAATATGCTGTAAGATTTTTGTGAGGATTAAATGATAATTAAAGCTTCATCTTAGAGTAGAGGCAGGTCTCTAAAGAAATGGGAGTTTGTTCAATAGATTTAAGCTACCTGTATGAATCAGACACATAAAATGGTTACAATTCGCCAGAAATTCTTCTAAGTGCTTTAAAAATTCCCAGGCATTTTGGCCATGTGTTTAAACATTGTTCTATGCTGCCTTTCCAATTTTCCACATATTGTGTTTTTGCCGTAGGCGGTTTGGGAGAGTGGCAGACCAAAGTCACAACATGGAGCAGGGCACGTTGGGCCTGAAGGAGCCCCTCCTTGTGCCTCTCTTCTTGGAGGGCAGATGAGTGATATGGATAAAACCCTGTGCACCCTTTTCTTCTTAGGGAGCTCTATGCTTTCTTATTTTCCCCGGGGGCAGAAAAAAATAGCATATTATGTTGTCGCAAAAGAAAAGGATGGAATTGAGCCTTCGTGGTTAGAGATGAGAAAGGGTCATCAGTTGTCAGAATGTGAGAGTCAGGGGAATTCGTGTAGTCGGAGCCCTATAAAAGGCACTGCAGGTGCTGATGACAGATGACTGTCCTCATAAACCTGAAGGCATGATCTAGGGCTCAATCGTCATGTCTGCCAAACTCAGAGAAGTTAAAGAAAAATAGGACATAGGAGATGATTTAGATTGCACCTGGGAGAGAAAGAATGCAGCTCACTCGAGATGTGCCTTGTGCGATAAGGCAAGCATTAGCGTAATATGGGCCTAGGTTTTGCCTTCTGCTTGCTTTTTCCAACCCATGGTACCTGTTAGAGAACAATTTGGCATGTGAAAGGTATTTCTGTGAAGTCTGGTTTTATTCAAGGAAATGTGAATCTTATGGAGGTGGGGGAAGTTATCAGCTAATTTTTGTCTCATTGTTTTAAACACGGGGGTAGTATCTGTTAGGTGTCTTAAGTGATACAGTGTATATTTGTTAAGGTGATCTCTGCCTTCCTCATATAACCCTTCTATGGACCCTTAGGGGTCCTTCATTCACATCCCCTGGGCTGGTCTCAGGAAAAAAATAAATCCAACCATAGAACTCCTTACATGTGCCATGTGCATTGTTGACTCTGCCTTTGGAGGCACAGTGATGGAGCAGAAATACCCTAAACCCTGGAAACATATAGATCTGAGTTTGAAATCTATTTCTCACCACATACCACGTGGGTGGACTGAAATAAAGTAATTAACATCTCTGGCCTTGGTTTACTCATCTATAAAATGGATCAAAAATATATCCCTCTCAGGGGCTTTTTGAAAATAAGTTATCTATCTGTTTTAACAAATTAACCCCAAACTTAGTGACTTAAAATAGTAAACGTTTATCATCTCACACAATTTCTGTGGTTTGGGGAATCAGCTGGGTATTTCTGGCTCAGAGTGGGTGTCTAATGAGGTTGCAGTCAAGATACTGGTCAGGTGGCTGTCGTCCGAAGGCCTGCCTGGGGCTGGAGGACCCACTTTTGTGGTGGCTCACTCGCTCTGGCTGTTGGCAGAAGGCCTCTGTGCCTCACTACGTGGACCTCTTTATGAGACTTCCGGTTGTCCTCACAAAATGACAGCTGGCTTCCGCCAGAGAGAGTGATCAAGGGAGAACAAGGAGGAAGCCACGACGTCATTTGTGACTTGCTCTTGGAATCACATGTCGTCACTTCCGCCTATTCTACTTGCTGGCGGCGAGCTCTGTAGTTCGGCTGTCATTCAAGGGCAGGGAATTGGGCTCTGCTTTTTGAAGGAGGTGTCTAAGAATTTGTGGACATATTTTAAATCACCGTAAGAGGTAACATAGGTAAGTTTCTTGTAATAAAGTAAGTATTCAGTAAATGAATGTAACTATTATTTAAAGGGTTAAATAGTATCTTGTTCTACTCTGCCTCTCCAGTACCTAGCACAGTTTTGGCATATAGTGACAACCTTACATAATGAGCTAATGATTAAATAATGAGCTAAATTTACTTCTTGCCTTATGTTAGGTATTGTGCTGAGCATTTTCGATGGAATAGCTCATTTCATCTTCACAATAACTCTGGGAAATGGAGACTACTCTATTATTATCCCGATTTTACAAATGGGAAAACTGAAATATACAGAGAAGTTAAGCAGTTTGTTAAATGTTAACATATGGAGAGGCTCCGTAGGGCCAGGAATTGGTCTCAAATAGTCAACTCTAGGATGTAGCTTTTAACCACCAAATTATGGGTCTTCCCACAAATCAGTGACTCTAAAATTATTCCTGTGAAATACTCCTGCCTCTGAACCTTATTTGTCCTGGAATCTTCTGAGGGTGAGAGAAAAATGATACTTGAATTGTGAAGTCTGTATTTTGAGGCCCTAGAATACCCTAAATCTCCCAGCCAAAATTTCACAATGTGACAGGTAAAATTTCTCCCTCCCACTTTTCCTTTCTATTTGATCAACACTGCCACAGCCCTCTGCTTCCTTCTGTTCTGCACTTAGGTTTCTCCTTGAAACTTTGAGGTTTGACGGTCCTAAGGCTAAATACAAGCTTGAAAAAAAAACAAAAAACAAAACAAACTAGATGACCCCTAAAGGTCATTTCCTGCTCTATAGTTTTATGATTATGTGAGTCCTCCTTCTTCCTGCTTCCTTTTAGAAATTAGTGACCAAAAAACCTGTCAATTCATCATTAACGATTACTCTCGACTCTCCTTTTTGTCATGCCTTAGCCACTGTCCTACACCTGATAAGGACTGGAATGAAAACACTGCAGCAGTCTCTTAGCAAGGCTCGCATCCGTAGTATTCTGACCTCTAAATTATCTTGTAACCCAGGACGACATGGGTCTCCAAGAATATCTTCTCTGTTGATGTCGCCCTACAGTTAAATTAAAACCCTTCTATTGGCTGTGTAGCAGTACTTACACAGAGGACCATGGATATTGCAACATATCAAAGGATAGTTTTTGAAGAATTCAGCCTTACAAGAAGTTAGTTGTCTTTAACTAATGGACTTTCCTGAAGACTTTTGCATGCTAATGTGAAATGTGAATCTTCCTGAGGATTTTTCTTTTGGGCTTATAGGCAAGCACAGATTTCGGGTCAGGAAGCTCTCTTGAGTTGTCCATTTGGAGGCTGTTTCTTCCAACTGTACCTCTCCCTGACACTTCTCACTTGGTCATGAGCCCTCATCACTGTATAGGACCTAAACATATGAAAGTCCAGAAAGCCACTCCTCAACAGGCTGCTGCTCTATTTCTCTTTTGCTTTCGGACCCTCAGCCTCCCCAGAGTCACCACTTTAGAATATCAAGATATGTGTGTGCTCGTATGCATATACATAACTTTCTATACTGATATACTGGGTAATTGTAAAAGGGAATTCATTCACGGAGGATTTTTAGGGCATAGAAACGACTCTGTATGATACTGCAATGGTGGGTACATGTCATTATACATTTATCCAAACCCATAGAATGGGCAACACCAAAGGTAGACTCTAGGTGATAATGATGTGACAATGTGGGTCCATCGGTTAGAACAAATGTCCCCCTGTGGTGGGGGATGTCGATAATGGGGGAGCTGTACATGTGTTGGGGGAAAGGGTATATAGGAAATCTCTGTATTTACTGCTCGATTTTGCTGTGAGCCTGAAACTTTTCTAAAAAATAAAGTCTATTTTAAAAGAAAATCTTAAAGCCAAGTACTAAATATAACTTCCTCCAGGTTTAAAAGCATGTGTGTGTGTGTGTGTCGACTAAGAAGTCGACCCTTCACTAGATGGGTCCTCTCTGAGGATGTCCACAGTTTCCAATCCGACTTCACTGTCCTTGGTTTTGCACCTCTATCTTAGCAAGCTGTATCCTCTAGACTTCCCCATTGCAATTCCATTCAGGTACTGGAAAACCCCAACCCTTACCCTTCCTGTGATTCCCTCATGAAGACATTCCCCCAAGTCCAAGTCATTGAGTCCAGAATAGCATCCTAGGGGTTTTTATTTGGACAATCAGTGATTTCTTCTGATAACCCAAAGAACTGCAAAATGGTATAGGGAGAGGTCTTGATGCTCCAAATCTTACAGCATTGTTCAAGCGGGCATGCATCCTCCAAGTCAGATCTCTTTATTGGCTTTCTGAAAGATACATCTTTAAAAAAAAAAAAAAAGCCCTATTAGATGTGTTAGAACAGCACATACTTGCCCTAAACTTATTTTAATTTACAGGTAAAACACAGTCCCTCTAAACCCTAACAAAAAACAAAGTATGTTCTAACTGCTTTTAATTTGCAAGATAACTTTTTCTTCCTCTAAAGGCAGTAAAGTTCATTATTATGCAGAGTAATCTGAAATTCCTTCCATGTTTTTAGCTTGTATCACTTTGGACCTGATGGACAAAGAAAGGAGCCATATGTCCCCAGAAGACTGCTCCCTTAGTAATATCAAGAAAACATTTGAAGAACCATTTAAGCAAGTAAGTAGTCAGGCCCTGTGCTGGGCACTAGGAGTGGTACCATGAATAGTACAAGTTTCTTGCTCTGAGAGTTGGCCTTAAAAGGCATTTATCCATTTATTTATTCATCAGGCCCTGTGCTGGGCACTAGGAGTGGTACCATGACTAGTACAAGTTTCTTGCTCTGAGAGTTGGTCTTAAAAAAGGCATTTATCCATTTATTTATTCACATATCAAGTATATTCTGAGCATCTGCTATGTGCTAGTTACTATACTCAGTGATAGAGAATGCTTTAGATTGAATACCCCAGATATAGATTCTAAGACTGAGAATTGTGAGTTGTGTGCAAAAGGTTTATGGGGTGATATTCTAGGGAGATACAGTGAAAGAAAGTGAGGACAGCAGGACTGGGGATGGAGAGAAGCAGACACTCAATGTGATTGCAACTGAGGCCAACTCCAGTCCTCCCAGGAGCTCTGGAGCTGAGATAACCCTTTAGAGGTATTCCAAAGAAGCAAGGAGGCCAGGCCTTTGTATGCCCATGTCACCCAGTCATTGGTGGCCTGGAGTCTCTGAGAAGAATGTTAACAACATGGACAAAGCAGTTTTTTTGTAGCCTAGGGAAATGCCCAGCAAGGGACGGGGCTGTGAGCCATCAGCATTCAATATCCCCAAGAGTTAAAAGATGTGGAGAAATCTATGTGAGAATATAACCACCACCACTATTAGGTTACAGCGGGAACAAGGGAGTTAGTTGGTGGTCTGGTTGATGAGCCATAGCAGCAAATAGGTAAGTGTAAAACTGTTGTCCATGCTGTAAAAATACAGAACAAGAGCACTTAGCCCAGTCTTAGGGGTCCTGAGAAGGATTCCCAAAGAAGGTAATGACAATGATAAGATAAGGAATTAGGCATACGAAGACACTGGGTGTGGAAAGAAATCGTTAAAGAGGAAGAGGCTTCCTGGTAAAGGGGACAACAGGTGCAGCGGGTGAGGACATGGTGTGGGGGAACCTTATGGAGTTAGGAATGGCTGGAGCGGAAAGTGCAGTAGAAGAGGTGCAAGGTGAGGCAAAGGACTGACGGCCTGAACTTGGACCCGAAAGAAGAGGGATGATGCCGGGTCCAGGGGTTTCATCCTGATTATCCTGACAGTCACGGTTTCCAGCAGGGAGTCACATGATTGAATGTGCACCTCAGGAAGATCATTCTGGCTACAGGGCTGAGAAAGGAATCAGATAAAAGAGCAGCACAGGGGACCCCTATAAGTGACCTTGGAAGTGGCTAGTTCCTTGGTTTCCAGAGAGAAATGATGGTGACTTAAAATGGAGGCATGTCAGGTGGGATGGAAAGAAATGGATGGATCTGAGAGATATTAAGGAGGCAAAATCCGTAAGGCTCGACTGATGGATATGGGTCTTTAAGGGGAAAGAAGAGTCAGCTCAGATTTGTCTCTGAGCCAGAGCAAGCTAGCAGGAGTGCGAATGATAGATCTAAGAGAGTGTCTGACTGAAACAAGGGAACCAATTAGAAGCAAGATAAACAATGTATTTTTGTGCAGGGACCCATCCGGAAAAGAAAAACAAAAACCAAAACCGTTTATGACCATATTCCTTTTATCCAAATGAAAATACTATTACAGAATTATGTGAAAGTCATATGTATATTCTTACTACTTAAATTACCTTTGTTAGAAGAATGTCAGTGAGGAAATTGGCCCTGCTTTTAGCCAATTAAATATTAATATCTGGGCCAAGTTTAGACATAGCAACACAGAGGCAGCTTCTCATTTTTTGGTTTCTATTTGTGTAGTGCTTTGGATCTCACGAAAATTATTCCAGGGCATGTTCTTTTTTATTCTCGATGCCACCCTGCAGGTAGGAATTATTACATTTCCAATATACAGAAGCAGAAACAGAGGCTCGGAGAAGTGGGATGACTTCACTTCCCAAGTGGCACAGTCGAGTCTAGAATGTTTATTCCATGCAGAGCAGTGTTTCCTGAGGATCAGCCACTGTTTGCCAGGCGTCACACAGAGATGTAATCGATGTGCCCACTCCCTGCTTCCTTCAGCAGCATGGGCCTCTCTCTCTCTCTCTCTCTCAGTTGTAGGATTGTCTGTCCGTCAGAGAAGCAGAGATGGGCAGGCAGTGCCTTGTTCCAAGGAAGCCCTGCCCTGGGCCACTGTACCAGACGAGCTTTGCCTTGGGTACTCTTGGAACACAGGAGCCGAGTGAGGTAAAGCTGGTTTCTCCAGATGTAGAATCCTGTGCTCTGTAGATTCCTTCCAACCAGGTCAAACTTGGTTTCTGAGTGATACATTATAGCCAAATGAACTAAATGTAGCTAAAAGAGCCCCCTCACAAATCAGTGATACTGTAATCTCCAGAATCAGATGACTCTCCCCTTAACTTGAGCAGGGGTGAGGACTAGAAAAAAGAGGAGGGGAGCAGAAGAGAGGGGAGGGACCCGTTTGGTTCTGAATCTGCCCCTTCAGGCTGCAGTCTCTGGCCACACGATGGCTTCCTTTTTGGCAGGCACTTCCAGTGACAGGTTTTCAAATATAACGTGAAGGGAGCTTATATCTTAATCAGGCAGTTTAGAAATAAGAGATATAATTAAATATGATTATGGGTAAGCTTAAATTTTCTGAATATAAACACACAAGTACAAGTGTACACTCTTTAGGTTTATTCATTAGTCTCTTCACAAGCACTTTGTAGTCTTTTTCCCACAGCTTTATTGAGATGTAATTGACATGTAACATGGTACAGGTTTAAGGTGTACAATGTGTCAATTTGTTACGATTATATTTTGCAAAATGATTTCCATCATAGCGTTAGCTAACACCTCCATCACATCACATAATTATCATTTTTTTGTGTATGGTGAGAACATTTAAGATTTACTCTCTTAGCAACTTTTAAGCATAAAATACAGTATTAACAATAGTCACCATGTTGTACATTAGATCCTAAGAATTTATTTGTCCTTTAACTGGATGTTTGTATCCCATTTTCCCTATCCCCAGCCCTTGGTACCCCCACTCTACTCTGTTTCTACAAGTTCAGCTTTTTCAAATTTTACCTACAAAGTTATATTTATTATATAGTGTTTGTCTTTCTCTGTCTGACTTATTTCACTTAGCATAATGCCCTCAAGGTCCATCCATGTTACCTCAAATGACAAGATTTCCTTCTTTCTCATTGTTGAATAATATTCCACCGTGTGTGTATGTGTGTGTATATATACACACATACCACATCTTCTTTATCCACTCGCCTGTTGAGGACACTTACCTTGTTACCACGTCTTGGCTATTGTGAATAATGCTGTAATAGACAGAGGAAAAGCACTTTGTAAAAGTACTTTGTCATCTTCCTTAGCACCTTCTCCTCTTCCGCCAACCTCTATCCTGAGCTGCCTTATTTACTTCTGGAGTCCCATGATCTGGTCTCTGAAATGACCATCAAAATGAGCCAAGAAGTACCCTTGTATTCTAAATACTGGTGTAGAGAGTTGCAAAATACCTCTAATTTAAGTTGTAAAAGTAATAGTTATAATATAAACAACTGCTAAGGACTTTGCACACACTAACTCAATGATAGGTTGGGATTCAATTATATTACAATCTAAGGATTTTGTGACTTTTATAACAACTATTTAGCCATCACCTCCCTCTTTTTTTTTTATTGCCTTTATCTAGATCTTTGAATTGTAAACTCTGTTCAGGACTCAACATGCTGATTTTATGCCATTATTTACACTCTCTGTGAAGTAGGGAGGATGCCACTTTTACACTTTTACACTTTTCACATGGGTGCATCAGAGTGATTGCTCTCTGGTTTGTTTTTTTGCCACCATGCCCCTGCTTTCTCCCTAGGGAGACTCTTCTTAGGGACATGGCTTAGGCCAAGCAATACTCCAAAGGCAGCTATTCTCAATGATTTTTCTCTCTAACGCTATTCCTATCAGTAGAAGCACATTTTGACAAAACTATCTACTAAGAAGCTGTCTCATATGGCTGTAGAAGGGCTAAGACAGGCCACAGATGACATATGATTCTCAGCATAGCCCAGTGACACCTCTCACTCTTCTAGGTAGGCATATGCCACACTATAATAGGAATAATCTTGGGTGCATTCTAATTTGTTTAATTTTAAAATTAGGTTGCTATGAATCCTATTCCACAAACTCAATAGTGCAAACTATGTCACAGTTGTATGTAGAAACTGTAAGGAATACACCAGGAAAAGAAACCTTCTGGAAATAATAAATAATTCAGCAAGGTTACAGGATACAAGGTCAATATACAAAAATCAATTTTAATTTTATACGCTGACAATGAGCAATCTGAAAATGAAATTAGAAAACAATTCTATTCATAATACTACCAAAAAGAAAAAAAGTATATTTAGGAATAAATTTAACAAAAGAAGTGTAAGACTAGTCACAGAAAATTACAAAACATTGGTGACAGAAATTAAAGAACTAAATAAATGAAGAGACATGCCATATTCTGAATCGAAAGATGTTAGTTCTCCTCAATTACTATCAAAATCCCAGCAGATCTCCTTGCTGGGACCACTATTCTGCCTCATGAGAAGGCCCTATACTGCTTTTCTCCTGGGCCATCCCGTTAGCCAGAAGCTGGGCCAGAATCATCGGTTTCTCCAGATTCAGATCTTTATACTTTGTAAAGGTTGAGAAGCTTTAGTTGAAATTGGCTTTCCAGTTATTATGTTATATTATGTTATAGATAAATGAACTAAATGTAACTAAAGAAAGTCCTTGTACATCCTGAGTAAGCAGATATTGTAACCATCCAGGGTCAGAAGGGCTCAAAAAACATTGTCAATCAAATGAAAGGACAAACTACAGACTAGCTCGAGAAAAGTGCTATAAATCATATATGTTATAAAGGACTTATGTCCAGAACATATTTTAAAAAAGAAAATATCCTCTTGCATCTCGAAAATAAGACAAACAACCCAATTAATACATAAGCACAAGACCTGAAC